TTAAATACAACCCAGTGCTGGGTAAAATAGGGACAAACCCAGCTATTGGGCTGTTTTGACCCAGCGGTTGGGTTACTACCCAGAAGGTTGGGTTAAACATTTAACCCAACCGCTGGGTCAAAACAACCCAATAGCTGGGTTTGTCCCTATTTTACCCAGCACTGGGTTATATTTAACCCAGCATTTTTTAGAGTGCAAAATTCAAATTTTGTCATACTCGTGGCATATGTCTTTTGAAACCTGTATGACTTTCTTTCTGCTATGGAAAAAAGTTAATTTGAACTTGAAATAATAATTGAAATAACTTTCAAACACATGAAAGTGCATGAGAATGTCAAGGTCCAAAACAAAACAAGAAAGCATCATAAAAGTATCATGAGAGACATAGTGATTCGTGAATGAATTGTTTTTATGAGATGAATCAGTTCATCAAAACAAGCCTGATGAACCAATTTTGATTCTTGATTCAAATCACTAACTTAATGAACAGTTTACAGCTCACTTGGGGGAGAATATTATCAGAGAATAACGACTGGTGTTTTGCATCCTTTTTACAGCTTGAATGCTCCAGCTTCTTTGCAACTGCAATGAGCAACTAGTATTTCTCAATTTGTGTTACTAAAAGTCACACGGGTTTGAAACAACATGAGTAAATAAATCACATAATTTATATTTCAGGGTCAAATATTTCTTGTAAAGCATCTGGCTAAAAAAGTAACATTCATTCATTGTTTGAGCTAAATAGGTCATTATTGCGATACACCCTTTGACAGATCAAAGCCAGTAGTTGAACTCTTCTGAATGAAACAGGATTATACACATCACAGCTGTTCCGGCACTGTCGTCACATTTTAGGAATGCTTAAAATTCCAAGATGAAATCCTTACTTCCGAAGGGGTTAGATGAAAGACACAGAAACCTACCAGGATTGTTCAGGCGTGAAAAACAGTTTAATTTACCTAAGATTACTTAAATCAAAAAGATCTCTTCAGCACTGATGATGTCATGCTTAAGACATTTGTATGCATGTGTGTGTGTGGGAGGTCTTTCTTTAAGTTGATTCATTGGCTTTATGTATGTTATTGTATGCAACATTCTGTCTGATCATTTTGAGGCATGATTTACTAATCACTAATACTTATCACTACTAAGATATTAAAGATTAGACATGCTTCATAATGTTTCCCTAAAATGACCCTCCTGCTCCTTAGAAGTATTTTTTTTAACTTAACATATGTATTCCGTTAGTAATAAGCTTTATAGCCTATATGACAGTCATATTAAAAATAAAAAACATGGAGATTATCTCTGACTGGGTCATCTCTAAACTCTGGACAATCTAAGATCAATTTGAGGAAAATTTTATATATTTTTTTCCCCCACATGATTACTCTAACACACAAAATCATACGAAATCAGAAACTTTTCTGGGGGTGCTAACTTGCAGTTAGAGTAATTTTCCATTTAATCAAATCAATACTAAACAAAAGACATCGTCTAAATCATCATTTACTTTTATATTTTGTTATTATTATTATTAGCTTATTTTTATAATTAATGTGGTTTTTAATTCAAATTCACTTGGATTCAACCTCCAATTATAACCAAAGTCTTCACCAAAGTCTCGTGAAACTATTAAAGTTTGAAAGTGTTACATAATCAATAACACATAGGTAAAACAGATTTTTTTTTAAACTATTTAAAAAGATACATTTAAACTAAACCATATAAATGCCAAGCTAACACTAGTTGACAATAACGCAAAATAAACTAGGCTACTTTTTAAAAGCACAGTAATATTCAGAACTATCTGTTTCTGTAATGCATACCAAAACTGATCATCTAATCCATATATACTAAAAAATGTATCAACATACATATAAAAATATTTAAAACAAAGAAGTAAAATTCAGTTTACCTTGTTTTTAACCTCCGCAGATAATCCGTAGGCTGGTCCCTTGTTAAACTGCGTCATGATTCACTTTTTTGCGTTTTTTCTTAAAGTCACTGTACTGCCCAACAGGGAATGAGTGAAGTAAAGTCCTAAAGCTGCAGTAAAATCACAGTACAGAAGATTCGGAGCTCCGCGTGCTTGAATAATCCGCGCTCAGTGAGTTTACACAACGGATACTCGCGCAAAAACTTCTATCCTATGAAAGTGTTACATAATCAATAACACATAGGTAAAACAGATTAAAAAAAAACTATTTAAAAAGATACATTTAAACTAAACCATATAAATGCCAAGCTAACACTAGTTGACAATAACGCAAAATAAACTAGGCTACTTTTTAAAAGCACAGTAATATTCAGAACTATCTGTTTCTGTAATGCATACCAAAACTGATCATCTAATCCATATATACTAAAAAATGTATCAACATACATATAAAAATATTTAAAACAAAGAAGTAAAATTCAGTTTACCTTGTTTTTAACCTCCGCAGATAATCCGTAGGCTGGTCCCTTGTTAAACTGCGTCATGATTCACTTTTTTGCGTTTTTTCTTAAAGTCACTGTACTGCCCAACAGGGAATGAGTGAAGTAAAGTCCTAAAGCTGCAGTAAAATCACAGTACAGAAGATTCGGAGCTCCGCGTGCTTGAATAATCCGCGCTCAGTGAGTTTACACAACGGATACTCGCGCAAAAACTTCTATCCTATATCGAGAATTTGGGGTGGAGCTAGATGGCTGATGCGCCGCTAGAGCCAATCAGAAGCCTCGGTTCTGCATATTAAACCATCCATTGTTTCTCTGGCTCTACTGGGCGCCACTGGCGAAAGTAATGGCTCACCTGCCAAAACTAGTGACCGCGTTTCGGTTTACTGGAAAGCTGTGGCTTATCTCTACAGTTATATGGTGTAATAATACTTTCTTTGTCTTCTTCGAGCAAAAACATTTCACGGTTAACTTAAGTAAATTTACAAACATTATTGCTTAACAGATCAGAATGCGGTACATACAAAAAATATATTAAAACGAAACTAAATTCTATATATTAACAATTATCTGAAAAAATAATTATTATGAATCTTAATAATACTGATTAACTTAAAAAGAAATAAAATGAAATAAGTGAAATTTTATACTGATTAACTTAAAAAGAAATAAAATGAAATAAGTGAAATTTTAACTACATTTCTGAGTGTGCATTAATGATTTGTTAAACATTAAATAATTTAATGATATTTGCTAATGTTATTAATGGCCCAAAATAACATTAACCCACTTAGTTACTAATAGTTTATTTATATGTGACCATGGACCACAAAACCAGTCATAAGGGTCAATTTTATGAAATTGAGATTTATACATCGTCCAAAAGCTGGATAAATAAGCTTTCCATTGATGTATGGTTTGTTAGAATATGACAATATTTGGCTGATATACAACTATTTGAAAATCTGGAATCTGAGGGTGCAAAAAAAAAAAAAATCAAAATATCGATAAAATCGCATTTAAAGTTGTCCAAATTAAGTCCTTAGCAATGCATATTACTAATCAAAAATTAAGTTGTGATATATTTACAGTAGGAAATTTACAAAATATCTTCATGGAAAATGATCTTTAATTAATATACCAATGATTTTTGGCATAAAAGAAAAATCGATCATTTTGACCCATACACTGTACTGTTGGCTATTGCTACAAATATAACCGTGCGACTTATGACTGGTTTTGTTGGCAATTAAAAAAAAATGAAGCTAATCAAAGTGCTTTCCAGATTACATAATGAAGAATAGAAAAGCAAATAAGACACACCCTTACTGCGGTAATACTAACTATGTTATGGTAAAATGCCAGTAACCACAATTTATCAACAGAAATCAAACCATGATAAAACACACAACACAAGCCAAGTGTATGCATCCAATTTCTGTGTTGCCATTTTCTGTATTGTCAAGTAGCTTTAAATGACCAGTTGATGCTTTGAGCTTGATGTACTGGGTGGAGCTATAATGTCAGGGTTATTTTTGTCTGAAAGGTTGAAGTGAAAACAACACGAGGAAAAAACAACTATCATGGAGGTGGTCTGTCTGAGGAGATCAGTATCTCTTGCTGTCACTCAACCTGTGCAGTGTAAACAAGGAAGACATTTTCTCTAAGGTTGATTTCATTTTGTGGATATTTCTAATAACATAGGTACAAACAAAATGCCAGAATGTTGTGTGATTTATCTGACAACATGACCCGTTTTATCAGAAGCTGAAGGCCTTTTGTCAACTAAAAACTGAATTCAACATAGAATATTAAAATGAAATTGAATTGAAATTCTGCAAGGTCGACTAATAAAGATACTGATGATATTGGTGATGGTCTCAGCCAGTGAGAGATGAAACAGCGAGGTGTTTCCTGATAAGAGTCTGTTATGACTAGAGATAATAACTCTTGTGCAGAATTACTCTTGCTGTTGGTGTTTGGTCTTTACCTCCTCCCAAAAAGTTCCATAAATGGTCAGCTTTTCGCTTTACAAGATGTTAACTGATGGACTGGTGTGGATTACTTGTGGATTACTGTGATGTTTTTCTCAGCTGTTTGGACTCTCATTCTGACGGCACCCATTCACTGCAGATGATCCATTGGGGGTGAGCAAGTGATGTAATGCTAAATTTCTCCAAATCTATTCCAATGAAGAAACAAACTCATCTACATCTTGGAAGGCCTGAGGGCGAGTACATTTTCAGCAAATTGGCATTTTTGGGTGAACTATTTCTTTAAAAATCAATTTCATTGTGGATAAAATGAATGGCGTTTTTATTCCTGCAATGCTACGGTTATCATCTATGCTCATAATAACCAAATTATACATGACATCACATACCTTCTAGACATGTCTGATGGGATCATCCATTTGCAGCTGTTCAGAAACATCGCAGTCGCAGAATTTTATGCTGAGAAGTAAATGACTAAGTTACCTGTATGAACTTGTTATGCGAGACAAAAGAAACCATCAGGTTATGCTCTACCTCGTGCTGCAGGTATTAGAGTGCCGTCTCATCTCTAGAAACAAGAAGAACAGGATATTATAGACACATAAAATAAAAACTACAGCTGAGAATTGCAGCTTTTCCATCTGTTAAGTCTATATTTGACACCATTTCCTCTAGAACCACATACCAGCACAGGAGGACAATGAAGTACTATATATATATATTATATACACATTACAATTCAAGATTCAAGGAATTAACATTATAGTTAAGGCATTATAAACTACCTAACAATGAACACAAAAAATGTTTACAGCAATTGTTAATTCAGGTTTATGTTTATTCATAAATATACACTATTGCTCATTATTAATTCATGTTTGTTCATAATACACTGACTAATGTTAATTCTTATATTACAATTTTAATGCTGTAAAAAGTATTGTTCATTATTAGTTCATAATACCTTAAAGTAATACTTTAATATAAAAAGTTGTTCCCATTAAACACAAACTCATCTACATCTTGGAAGGCCTGAGGGCGAGTACATTTTCAGCAAATTGGCATTTTTGGGTGAACTATTTCTTTAAAAATCAATTTCATTGTGGATAAAATGAATGGCGTTTTTATTCCTGCAATGCTACGGTTATCATCTATGCTCATAATAACCAAATTATACATGACATCACATACCTTCTAGACATGTCTGATGGGATCATCCATTTGCAGCTGTTCAGAAACATCGCAGTCGCAGAATTTTATGCTGAGAAGTAAATGACTAAGTTACCTGTATGAACTTGTTATGCGAGACAAAAGAAACCATCAGGTTATGCTCTACCTCGTGCTGCAGGTATTAGAGTGCCGTCTCATCTCTAGAAACAAGAAGAACAGGATATTATAGACACATAAAATAAAAACTACAGCTGAGAATTGCAGCTTTTCCATCTGTTAAGTCTATATTTGACACCATTTCCTCTAGAACCACATACCAGCACAGGAGGACAATGAAGTACCACTGAAATGCGTAGTGAGCTGGAAAATATTTCACAACAACACTAAGAAAAAATGTATTCACACTTAAGAATGAGGTATCACAATCTAGATTTAAAACAAGTCTTCCATGATGTATCTGAATGACAGTATAACTTTGAAATGGACAAACCTGTGATCAAAAGCCAAATACTGTTTTCCATGAAGTGGTGCATGAAAAAAAACACTGAAACTATGAATGCAATTAGAAGCACCTGCATGTGTAAAAACTTCTTCAAGGAATTAACATTATAGTTAAGGCATTATAAACTACCTAACAATGAACACAAAAAATGTTTACAGCAATTGTTAATTCAGGTTTATGTTTATTCATAAATATACACTATTGCTCATTATTAATTCATGTTTGTTCATAATACACTGACTAATGTTAATTCTTATATTACAATTTTAATGCTGTAAAAAGTATTGTTCATTATTAGTTCATAATACCTTAAAGTAATACTTTAATATAAAAAGTTGTTCCCATTAAACATAATACTACTAATATAATCATTACTCAAATATAAGTTTGTATTCAGAAAGGATGCATTAAATTGACGGAAAAAATGTATTACGTTTTCCACAAAAATATTAAGCGGCACAACTGTTTTCAAAATTGATATAAGAATGATAATAGTTACTGATAATAATAATAATGTTTCTTAAAGCAGTTAATCGGTATATTAGAATGATTTCTGAAGGATCATGTGACACTGAAGACTGGAGTAATGATGCTGAAAATTCAGCTTTGCGTCAAAGGAATAAATTATATTTTACAATATACTCGAATAGAAACAGGTATTTTGAAATTATTATAATAACTGTAATAATATTTCACAAAATTACAATTTTTACGGCATTTTTGATAAAACAAATGCAGCCTTGGTGAGCATAAAATACTTCTTACAAAAACATAAAAATGGCTTCAAAATCCATAAAGATTTTAAGAGTAAACAAATAAAAATTATGATTTGAAGAATAAAAATTTAGTCATTTTTCTTATTTTAAACTAATCTCACTATTACCTTATTATATAATTTTATTTCAATTATGAGCTAATTCAATTGAAATTATTAAGGGAATACAATGGTATTTTAATTACAAATCCATGATTAGTCAACTTGCAACATATTATCTTTAAACAAGTTCACTCTCTGAGACAACCACACGAGGTAAACTTGTTGACACACTTGGGGAAACAATTTGTGGAACTGACGATTTTCTGTAAAGCTGCTTTTGGACAGTGAAAAGTGCTATACAAATTAAAAATGAATTGATTTGACTTAAATAGGCTAAGACACAACATCCAAAAGACGCCAGCATAAAGTACAGAGTCCTCCGAGTTGGAGAAATATGAGCTTTCTGGTTCAAAACTGGAGACAGCGAGCGGCACAGGAAGGCGGTCAGACTTCGGTGGAGACGAGCCATGGGGTCTGGAGAAATCATCTTACACCGACTGCTCAGACACATTAACACTGGAAAAATCCAGCCTCTGTCTGCTCCGAGCCGAAACCGATACGCGGCAGGAACCGAGGACAACGACCCAAGTGAGAACATCAGAGGTTAGGGACGTTTCAACTCACATACGCTTCAATTCATTTCTGTCTGCTTCTGCTCGGATTGAGTTTATTGCCAGTTTCCAAGCAGTCTAAAACACTCAATTTCCCATCCTGCACCTGGAGGCAGATGAGGGATGGGCAGAGACGGACCACCAGGTGGGCGATCCTTCTCGGCCCGTATTTACATTTCACACACACCTGCGAGTTCACTTCGGGGAATGAGATCACTGTCACCCAACAGAGAGACGCTGACTTCAGCTCTGAAGGGCTGCTGGATTGTGTACAGAGATTGGTGAGCGTTTGCTATGGGCACAAGCCAAGTCTCGGTTTAGTTTTGTTGACTTTTCAAAGGCGTAAAAGGTAGAACAGGACATCTCATCAGCCTATCATGATTGTTTGGCTTAAAAAACAAAACAAAACTCAGAGATAGTTGTCATAGTTGTGTATTTAGCACGTCAGTAACTGTATAGGAATGAATCAAATGTGAAGAACGGTATCAAAATGGCATGTAATTCTCAATACAAAAGTGAAAAAGTCTACAGAAAGGGATCACACCAGTCTCCCTACGTAGATGGCCTTTGGGTATTTGTCTTTTAGTGGGGCCCACTGCACAAAAAAGTAGTCAGAAAAGTAGTAGAGGATCTTCCCGGATAGAGACAGCGTCTCCACACGACAGATGCTCTCCACATAGACGATCAAGACTCTTTTTAGGCCCAGGATGCCCAGGAGCAGCCCAGCGGCACACAGTGGGACACAAGTTCCTGGACCATTACACAGCACCTGAAACGCAAACACACACACACTTATATATACAGTATATATATAAAATCCAGCCTCTGTCTGCTCCGAGCCGAAACCGATACGCGGCAGGAACCGAGGACAACGACCCAAGTGAGAACATCAGAGGTTAGGGACGTTTCAACTCACATACGCTTCAATTCATTTCTGTCTGCTTCTGCTCGGATTGAGTTTATTGCCAGTTTCCAAGCAGTCTAAAACACTCAATTTCCCATCCTGCACCTGGAGGCAGATGAGGGATGGGCAGAGACGGACCACCAGGTGGGCGATCCTTCTCGGCCCGTATTTACATTTCACACACACCTGCGAGTTCACTTCGGGGAATGAGATCACTGTCACCCAACAGAGAGACGCTGACTTCAGCTCTGAAGGGCTGCTGGATTGTGTACAGAGATTGGTGAGCGTTTGCTATGGGCACAAGCCAAGCTGTCAGAGCGCTATTTGAGTCTGTCATCAGAGTGGTGCAAATTTAAATGGCCATTATGTGAAACTTCAACACGACATAAATCAAGTGTCAGAAAAACCCCGTTTCGGGGCTGTCGGATCGGTGGGGCACTGAATGTGCATCAAAGAAAACAGCTTGTTTTTCTCAAGTCTCTTTTCGTGTGTTAAGGAGAAGAAAGACTGATAGTGAAAGCTGGATATGAGGCGCTCTCTTTTTAGCCTCTTCTGCATTTTCTCGAAAGAAACACTAGGAATTAGTAATTGTGAATGTGCGAAGAACTAAAACACAACAGCTAAATACTGTTCCACCAACCTTGACTTCTTTAAAAAAAAAAATTGTGAAATGTATATCTGAGCAAACATAGCAATAGCTGCATCAAAAGTGCAATCCATACATTTTTTTTTAATCCAAAAGTCAGTGTAGAAAATAGGAAAGAAGCTAACAGGCAAGGTTTTTATAATAATTTTCAAATGGCATAATGAAAAATAGCTTTTTTTTTCATAATAACTGTTTTCATACTGTCTTTGCAAAGCCTAAGATCTCAAATTTAAGTAAGCATATCAAGATTTTTATAAAAATGTATTAAGTCTATAAAATATGACCGAAGGTCTCAAATATATTGATGCAATTAGGAAATAAATAAATAAATAAAATAGCATATTTCTAAATATCAAGGTGTAAAATTTGTTATAGTTATTTGGGTGAACTATTCCTTTTAGAAAATTTATATTTGTCTTAAAATTGTACAAGCAAAATAAAATGTTGTAAAAAGTTTAATTTTATGGTTTTTTTTGTTCTTTTTTCTTTGCATCACTGATTTAAATACATTTACATTTGAAAATGTAAAGTTAAAAAAAAATTATCAACATATTTACGTTAAAATAGCCTATCTTAATATATAGCACCCTTCCGAAGATCAAAATCTAATATTGATACATTGTGGTATTAACGAAAAAAATAATAGCATATAAAATAAGAAAAAAAGTGGTTAAAAAAATAAATAAATAAAATAAATTAAAATAAAATAACATAAGAGCCCTGAAGTGACTTTCAATCATGTCAACAACCAGAACCACTAGTCCGACCCTTTCTATTGCACCATATAAACACAGCGCTCAGCTGTGAAAGTGCAAATACAAGGAAAGTGAAAATCCCATCAATATCTGTTGATGGCCAGTGGTGCATTTTAAACTGCTGCTTATCTAAAGCCAGTGGGGATTATACACTAATGCTGAAGCATTTTCATAAATCAAAGGCCTTATGGAGTCATTGTTCCTCTGTGAGACATGTTCATATCACAGCTGCACAGACAGGACGTGCACAGGTGCCGAGACGTAATTACTAATGAGGTCATCGAGGTGGGGCCACTTTATTACTCCACATCATACGGAGTAGCTCCAGGTGAGATTTAAACTGTTACCAGGTTTTGTTACTTCCCTTCTCAGGCTTCAGATGAGTCAGCACAGACCAGACTGCAGGTGTCATGGCTATAAATGACAGACGAGTTCATTCTGATTTTGTTAAACAGTAACAAAGTAAAAGGCCGTCTATACAGTGTCTTATGACTAGCAACACAACATAAACACCCATAGAGGGCCGTTATTTTACTGGTCTGTGTTACTGCAAGAATGGCAGCATCCTATCATATTGTTTTTTTTAATAGTTTGTATATTGGAATGTGTGATTAGGATTATGCACTGATGTAAATTTGGGGATATAGTATGTATAATATGTAAGTACATATTACGAGGGTGATATATATATATATTAGGGAAGTTAAAATAAATAATACATAATATTTCAATTATATATATATATATAATAGATTATTTGATTGTAGAATAATAAAATACATATAGAAACATACAGGTATATACATGTATATATGTTTGTCTGTGTTTAATTTCCAATTCATTTATGTATGTATGTAGTTATTTTTTATTTATTTAAAGAAACAAGTTGTAATTTGAATAAACTGTACTGAGTTCTTTAACAATCTAGCATGCCTTTTTGTACATTATTGCTTATATTATATTATGTGACATTAGATTTGTGATTAGGATTACACACTAACTGCTTGTTTATGAACATTATTTCTCTACGTGCATATCCTGACATATTCTAACATGCAGATCTTGTTTTATGATCTATCCATCACTAATTATCATAAACATATGGATGAACATTAAATAAATAAAACACACAAGAGCTCCGTCCGCTGCATTTCCAAATAAGGCTAAGATGAAACATATGGATGGAGATGCAGTCAAACAAAAAAACTCAGGATCAGTGAGGATCATGTGTGGAATGTGAGGGGATGTCCACCGCACAACGTCCAGACCCCGTTATGTGTTAATCGTACAAACCTCCTCCCCCTCTCACAAAATCTATGGAACACAG